GTAGTAGTAGTAGTAGTCGTCGTCGTCGTCGTCGAAGTCGTAGTAGGGGGCGGAGGAGGATGAGTGGTAGTAGTAGTAGTAGTAGTAGTAGTAGTAGTAGTAGTGGTCGTCGTCGTAGTAGTAGTAGTATAGTAGTAGTAGTCGTCGTCGTCGTAGTCGTAGTAGTAGTAGCAGTAGTAGTAGTATACTGAGTAGCACTAGTGATCACCAGTGGTAGCAATGCTAGCATCCTAGGGGTCTGCTTGCAGCCCCGAGACTCCAGCGGCTGCTGCACGGACTTGCTGGGCACACGGAGCACTCCGTGTTGAAGCCTCGGCTCGGGGAATTTCCCGGTTTACCTAGTGGTTCGTGATGTGCTCTGTCTAAAGACTTCCTTAAACAGCCTTAACATTGCAAGCACAATGTCCTCATGCCCCGTGAAAGATCAGCAGGAAAGACCAGCGCCTGCATCGGAAGTTTCAAAGGCGTGATTTAGATATCCTTGATTCCCTTAGGCAGAGTGGCCATGAGTGACCCTTGAAGGTCTGCAACCTAAACCTTTTTTTGGTTGGCCTTGGCCCCTAGGAGCCAGAAGTCCATAAATTCGGCACCCGAGTCCCGCACCTTAAGCAAAGCCTAAACGTTAAATGTCAACCCCCAGATCCCAACAGAGAGCCCCAAAACGCCTGATAAGACTGGCGTTTGGGGATTCGTCGTGCAGATATGACGGTACCCTGAGGAATAGCAGTTACTACCCTAAACGCTAAAGCCCAAAATCCTGTAGTTGCCTTGATCCTTTAAAGCACTAACCTACAAATTGCGTAGGCCTTATGTTGCGGCCCTCCGCCCAAAAAAAAGTCGCGCGGCGATGGCCGGCAAAGAGCTGGGAAGAAGATCCTGACTTGGGGCTTCGAAGGCATAGGCTGTCAGGGCTTAGGGTTTACGTTTAGGGTTCTGGTTCAAAGCAAAGCTTGAGGCTTGAATAATTTGGTTATAGTGTTTTGAAGGCTTTCAAAAATTCGACGGCATTGTGGGCTTACGGTCTATGAGTCGAGGGTTTGGCTCTCACAATCTACAACGTTCGGGGTTGAGAGCTCTGGAATGCTCTGGACGTAGTGTCTGCCGTCTGGGATGTCTGGCTTCAGAGTTTCGGGACTTGACTCGTCTGTTGCTGGGACATCACGTAAACGGACGGAAATTTAAAGGATTCGAGCTACCTGGCCAAGATTGATCACCAAGCCCCACACCTCAAAACTCAAACCAATGTCGTACTATACTGCTCGTACTATGCTGCTGCGTTATGGCCGACATTTTTGAATCCAATACGGGTCTGCATGCGGTCCCTCACTTGTACGGAATATCACATCATCATGTGTTCAGATTGTGGAATAGAAAGGGCATCTCATAATGCCAAACCCCTGAAAACCTGGAGCGCCAACCAAATCCCTGAGCCGCCCGCAAACCCTACCCTAGACCCTAAAACCCATTTGGGTGGTTGTCAAAATTATGGTCCCTTTTTTTGGTCCTTATTATAATACGGCACCCATGATTTAGGGTACCCCAAAAGGGACCATAATTTTGACAACTACCCATTTAGGGTTTAGGGTTTGGGGCTTAGGGCCCATGCAGATCCTAAACCCGCTAAGCCCTCAACGCTCCACTGGGACGAGCCTGTAAGCCCCCTAGACGCAAGAACCATGGTGTTTAACTTGACCTTGTGCCTTGCGCATATCAACAATAAGACGAACAAATTCGAAACCAACTTTCTCAAGAACAATCCCCCAAGGCTCCATGTCCCTATATAGTATATAGCTAGGCTTTGAAATACCTATATATATATATACTATGAACGAACCTATATAAGGAGCCCTTTGAAACTGCGTACATAGTCTATGGGCACATGGGGCCTTAGGGTTCAGCAGGAAAGTGTCAAGGGAGGAAAGGCCAGCTTCCGCCCCAGCCAGTAGGTCCAAGGCTCCGTCGCCTCAAGGAAGGGAGAACCCTAAACCCTAAACCCCTTAAACCCTTTAAACCCCAAACCCTAAACCCTAAACTCCCTAAAACCCTAGAATCCTAAAACCCTAGCATCCTCAAACCCTAAACCTTAAAACCCAAAAACCCTGAACCCGGCTTTGGGTTTAGGGCGTATACCTGTAGCTGAAAAAACATACCTTTTTAGGGTTCCTTCTTATGGTTTCTATATATAAGTCCTTATAAAGGTAGGTTTTTTGGGCCACAGGTAGGGTTTGAAAAGGAGACCCAAGCTCTGGAGACGATTTGGGGGGGTTCTAAGATTCCTTTAAGGGTTCGGTCAGACAGCGGTGTTGCAGGTCCCTTTAAGGGCTTCATGAAGGGTCCTATGAGATTTCATATCGATCTTCCAGCGGCCAACCTGTACCCTCAACCCTGAAACCCCAACGATTAATGTAGGGGGCATTAATATTTAGAATAGGGTTTGGGGGTATATGGTACTATATACTTATTAAATAAGGAACTCCCCCAAAAACCCTATTCTAATTATTAAGGTCCCTACATTACCTTCATCATCCCCTTCTCCCCTCCTCGGACCTCGGACCCGTAGGTCTTCCAAAGGTAGGCGTTAATCTCCGCCGACTCGTTCATGCGAACTCCCGTGTTCTCGTCCACGAGGAAGGGGTACATCTGCTTGCCTGTCATTACCTAACCCCCCACATACCTACTGAAAAGGGGGCCCTAGGGGCTCTAGTACGCTATATAGTAGATACCTGGGGGGGTTAGGATTATGAACAACTTCTATGAAGCTCCCAACATCCGGGCTTCAGAAAACGCACAGATTTTGCCGCGGTCTGCTTCTGCCTCCCAACTTCGTGACTTCCTCCCTGAAGCGCGAGTTCTCGACAACGCCGTAAGCCTTGAGAGTCGATCTTGGGCAGGGGTAGATCTCTACATCCAGGGCGAGGACGGAGATCGTCTCTCGCACGTTTCGGCAGAAAGGGCAGCCTTCGAACTCATAGAGTTTCAAAAGCCTTCACCGCCCATGCATATGGAAACACAAAAAGGGTCTTAAATGGTCAAGCTTTGAGACACTAGTTTCCTGCTCATAAGAAACCGAAATATTAGGAGAAACCACGGAGCTTTGAAGGTCGTTGGCACTTCTCCAGGCCGCTGGCGGCAAAGCTGCCTCTCTTCTTCAGCAACCAGGCCCAAAAAAGTTCAAACTTTTTAGGATAGACCTGATACATAAGGCCAAAAAGTTTAACGTTCTCCCATTGGCTATCTAAGCTGCCGCTGAAGCCACGGAAGCAGCCCGCCAGGGAGGAGGTAGCCAGCTCCGCAACTCTCCCAAGGACTGGGACCTTCCTGACTTAGAGTTTTAAGCGGCCCCCAAAGCCATTCTGAATAATAGACATCTAGGGTTTAGTGACATTTAGGGATTATATAATATTATATAGGGCTCCATGGGGCCAGAAAGGGCTTAACGAAAGCTTCTGTATGATCCCAACGTGCCACCCAGCTTCTTGACGGCCTCAAAGGCGACGCTACAGTAGTGAAGCACCTTCATTGCTCCGCGGCCGCTACAGGCAGAAGTGCTTGAGCAAAGTGTTTCGGCCGAAAGGAACGAACGACCCTTGGAGTTGGGCTTTAGGGCTTTAGGGTTTGAGGTTTCGGGGCTTTGGGTTTTGTTTGTGTTGCTGCAGTGCTCAAGAGTCCGCCGTGGGCTCCTGTGCTTGGAGAGGCTGGTCCCAGTTACAGCCTGGTGGCCTGTTGGGCCTTAGCAGTTTGAATAGGGGTTTTGGGGTCCATTGCAAAATAGCTACTTACACATTTAGAGATCAAAGGTTAGAAAGGGCAGAGTAGTACTAAGCACTGTAAGTCTTCAGACCTCTATTTACGTTCAAACCGGATGGCGCCTTGAGGAGAGCGCGTTGCAGCGCCAACAA